AATAATAATAATAATAATAATAATAATAATAATAATAATAATAATAATAATAATAATAATAATAATAATAGTAATAATAGTAATAATAGTAATAATATTAAATGTTATGTATATGCGTCGCACCTATTGTACATTCGAAATGATACCAACTTGCTTGAGCTACTATTAATAATAAAATGACTCACTTATGATAACGACTCTCTTATTGTCCAGAAACAGTTTACTTTATTCATGCAGGATGTCATTAAACCCATAATGAATTCTAGGAGGGAGGGGGAATAAAAGTTAATAGGCCGTAATGTTGGGCGTTCTTTTTTCTTCAGAAACATTCTCGATTTGTCTAGTCATGGTCAGTGATAGTATTCACAAGAACACCAAGTGATGGTTAGTTGTTATTTATTGTTTTGCTCTAGTTAGGCTTTCTTTCCGTGTTTGTTTCGAAAATCTTCCAGACCATCAATGATTGATTTATAGAGGCACCAGCCATCCATGTCCAGGTGCTGTTTTAGCCTCGAAAATCTTCCAGACCATCAATGATTTATTTATAGAGGCACCAGCCATCCATGTCCAGGTGCTGTTTTAGCCTCGAAAATCTTCCAGACCATCAATGATTGATTTATAGAGGCACCAGTCATCCATGTCCAGGTGCTGTTTTAGCCTCGAAAATCTTCCAGACCATCAATGATTTATTTATAGAGGCACCAGCCATCCATGTCCAGGTGCTGTTTTAGCCTCGAAAATCTTCCAGACCATCAATGATTGATTTATAGAGGCACCAGTCATCCATGTCCAGGTGCTGTTTTAGCCTCGAAAATCTTCCAGACCATCAATGATTTATTTATAGAGGCACCAGCCATCCATGTCCAGGTGCTGTTTTAGCCTCGAAAATCTTCCATGGAAGCATACAGTGCATTCCCACCTGGGTGAAGTGAGGAAAATTCCGGTAACGTGACTTTCCCAAGGACATAACGTCGGGCCCGCGGCTCGAACCTCCGAACCCTCAACCTCACGATTGCGAGTCTAGTAGCCTAATCAATTAAGAAGCTCAAAATTAAGCAGACTGACCTTTGCAAACTCATTGTCCTGATTGATCATCTCCATGGTGTAGTCACAGCTGGAGGAATGGCACATGAGAACTTTCTGGTTCCAGTCCGGGATGGCGTATGTCCGGTTGTTGATGTTGGCCTGAAGCTGTGGGGGTGGGGGTGGGGGTGAGTGTGGTGTTGGAGTTGGAATTAGGGGTGTGGTTGGAAAGTGGGGTTGGGGTTGGGGTTGGGGTTGGTTGGGAGTAGGGGTGGGGGTGGGATAGGGGTGGGTTTGGGGTTGGGAATGGAGTAAACATTGAATGAGGTTTCATTTTTTATATATGTATTGGTGTGCTTGAGTGTATGTGTGTGTGTGTGTGTGTGTGTGTGTGTGTGTGTGTGTGTGTGTGTGTATGGGTCTGTGTGTATGTATGTGTGTTTGAGTCATGAAAATGAGCAAGATGACTGTGGAAGGAACGGTAGCTGGAAACAGAGGAAATGAAGGACCAGAAGGAATATAGGAAGATAATAACAATGAATGGATCAGAGCAAGTACCACGACAGGGGAAAGATAGATATAAACCAGAACAAAATATTGTTGAATCATCACTTCTCACATCACTTCCCACAGAAGATATGGAAAAAATGCGATAAAGAGCTGTCAATTAATATTTTCCAGGTCCCATGCATGGACGACATATATCAGAAACAATTTCCCATATTTATGTCAATGGAATGCACTTGCGAACAAGTTTAAATGTAAAAATGATATCAATAACAATGATAAATTCCACTTATATACAGCGCATTCCTCGAAGAAAATGCCCAAATGGGCTTTACAATAATACAGAGAACAGGAGCCACATACAGTCCTTATAACGATAACTTCGCCCGTCTCTCTTCGTTCTCTCTCTCTGTACCCGCCCCAACCCTTTCTCTCTCTCCGTCTCTCTCTCCCTCTCCAACACACAGAGACAGACATACAGGAACACATACATAGACACACACAGACACACATACACACCGACAGACAGACACACTCACGCACAGACACACACACACACACACACACACACACACACACACACACACACACACACACGCAACGCATCGATTACGATACGTAGCCACTTGATACAGAACAGCATAGCATGAACAACAAAGATCTAGATCTAAACTATAGAAAAAAACATGTCGATTGGGAATATCGGTCATCACTGATTAAAGCTGGCCAGAAACTGTTTCGTATTAAGGGCTGATTAGAATTTGATAGAAATTATGATCGTATCCTGTAGGTACGCTGGTAATGCGTTCTCCAGTAATGGACGTTGTGGGGGAAAAGTTATCTCTTCCAATACCTAACTTTTACTTTAAACAAGCTTTAACAGCCCCGTTTAGGACAGTCTTAAAGGCCGAGATGGTAAGTATTCCATGGCCATGTCCCTTAGATATTATGATGGTTGAATGTTGTTGACTTAAAACAAGGGACAGAGTAGGAAGATCAGTATATGATATCACTTTGGTGTATCCTTATTTAGCTTATTCCCTTTCTTTCCCCTGCCTTCCAACCTCTGTCTATTGACTGAATAGTCTACTTTTGTAATGTCTAGTAGAGAAGTCAGTCAGAATTACAACCTTCTATCTGACCTTTTTGGCCGTTATGAGCTACTACGGCCATGCTATCCAAAATCAAATGATCTGTCTGCTCTATCAAAATCGTAAGGCTATTCAGAGTCGTTAGCATTAATAATATGTTCAGAGTTGCATTCGAAAAAGCTTGACATAATGTGAAACTTAAAATCATTGATGTCAAATTTCTCAAAACTAGGTACTGAGCAGATAGAACTTCGTAATTCTGTGGTAGCGAAGTGACAAAACACTACCACGCCCCTTATCATAAACAAAAGAGTCACATGGAAGCCTTTTCTTACATACTCAGATCCAAAGGTGGTTAATACAAATCCAAAAACTTGCATTCGAAGAGAACTTGTCACAAGCTTGGCAAAACTTCGCGATACGTTTGAACAAATTCTGGAAGTTAGACTTCTGAATTTGCATGGAGTCAGAGCAGATTTCCCCTGTCCTGCCTGAACCTCCTCCCCTTATCCCCCTCCTCCTTCCCACCCCCTTCCCCAAACGAATAGAATGCAATTTTAAAATCTGGGTACGAAACTATGGAAGTCAGGTTTTTAAAAATTATCTATCCAGACACCCCCGTGAACTCCCGATGAAAACAGAGAGGACAGCAATTTTAAGAGAATAGATGCCACTGTTTACGAAAGAGAGGATGTGACGTATGACTAGCACCCCATCTACCGGTGGAGTTGTACCCTTCTTGGTTAAGAAGTTGATCATTTCGTTGGCTGAGAGCCAGAAGTGACCATGTCCATTCAGGCCAAAAAGCTGAAAGTAGCGTAATATTGGCGTTAAAACATTTATATCACATCATGTCTGTAAATCAAACCTATTCGCCTATTATTTTATTCCAACGTGAATTATTCCCAATACGTATAATATGTCCAAGAGTTGCATATTACGCCTTGCCATTTAAAAATTCAAAACAAGGAATGTGGTCACCTCTAGCCCCAAGCCTACGAATTTACATCCCTCCCCCCCCCAAAAAAAAAATTAAAAAATTAAAAAATCCAACACAAAAGGTGCAATACACCTACCCATGCAGTCTGATTGAAGTATTTTTGGTAGGCGTTCTCAAGGTCGGAAACACCAAAGTCCCATGTCCCATGGACTTTGGAAGGACGTCGAGAGTGAGCCTTAAAAACCATCTCTGGAGGGTAAGGGTGCATGGCTTCCATACCAATGACCACATAGCCGTGGGCAGCTACTGCATGCATGAGAACGGAGTAATACTCAGCAGACATCATGCCGTTAAACCCGCCGATGAATATGATTGGTTTGAAGGTACCGTGTGTCAGAGGGAAGTAAACTGTGGAGGAGAGGAATTGTGTCACAACGCGGTGGAATCAGGCGCTCGTCAATTTATGGGCATGTGGAGTTATGGGTATCATCCTAAAGTTTGTTAATTTCTTTTTCTTTGAAATAAGAAAAAATCAATTTATCAAGGGGGGGGGGGGGGGGGGGGGAGGGGTTGCCCGGTTTTAAAGGTAAAACTAACGAGAAAATGGCCACCAAAATTTGGTAAATTCCATAGTTTCAGAATCGTCGGAAACCGAAAATCTACATCTTGTACCTTTAAGTAACGTTTTTCGGTAACAGCGTTGATAAGCCAAGAAACAAAACTTCGTAAAAAAAAAATCTCCGAACCGGCTGATAAATGCGATTTTCTTCAGTTTCATGGTTTTGACGAGCACCTGATTTCACCACCCTGTCTCACAATTGGTTAATGTTAGTGGTTTTTACGAGAAAAACGGACGATTCGAAATATTAAGAACATTGGATTTCTATTAATATTATAAAAATTCCTTAGTGGAAATAACATGGCGACGTAAAGAAGTACTGAGCTCATGATCCGTAGCTACAGTGATTATCTTTTCATGAATTGGTTCCTCGACAGATTAAAGTGTATGTGTTTGAAACAATGATTGTATATTGAGTGGGGCACTATGACTGAAACTTTGATTTAAATGTTACTTTATTGTGAAGCGCCTAGAGCCACCAGAAATTGTGCGCGATAAACGTGCTCAATATTATGATGATGATGATGATGATGATAATGATTACCATTATTAATATAATTACCATTATTAATATATTTAATATAATAATTATTATATATATCATTAGTAGATACTTGCCAGTAGTATGCATGGGCGCCCCATCATCGGCAGGGGTAATGGTGAACTCTGCAGTCTTGTACGGGCCGGGTACGTAAGGGTCTGTGTCGTCAGAGGCTCCATAGTGTAGCGTCAGCACCGAGACCAACAGAACTGTGGGTGAGAGACGTGGAGCGATGATGACGATGATGATAATACTTATTAAAATAAAAATAATAATAAC